TGCCAAAATCTGTCCAAATAAAACCTGCCATTAGAACTACCCAAGGATATCAAATTGCATTACGTTACGTCCAAAACATGCTTAGAGCCTTTATATCCAGTGCTAACTTCAGACTTCTTAAATTCCAAGCTTCTAAAGAACAGCATGCGCAATTCTGCCGAGATAATCTCCCTTCAGATGTAGTTGAATCTCTAAACGAAACGATTGCCTGTGTTTCCAACATCGAAAGACAGAAAAAAACAGTGTCTTAGACAAAAAATGGATGGCCATCTCTCAACGAGTTCCTATAAACCAAACTTGCTCGACGAAGGTAGTGAACCTGTCAGCAAGACGACTTACAACAGCCGAAGAAAGTATACTTTCTAAGGGAATGAAATATAATCTATCCGATGCGAAATACTTAGGCTTCCTTGCAAACTTGGAGTCTATAATATCAGCAGAAAATCTTATGGACTATGAACGCGACGCAATCCGGAATAGCACTGTACATACCTTAAAGAACCGACGTCCCTTTTCAGTACTATCACAGGAAGAAATTAAGGCACTAGAAACATTAAAAAGTGACAAAGGCATTGTCATACTTCATGCGGACAAAGAAGGATCAGCTGTGATTTTAAACAAAGCAGACTACAACGAAAAGATGTTGTCATTAAAGGATAGATTAACCTACAAACCTCTTACCACGGACCCTACTAAGGCGCGGAGTACGGTCGTTGAAAAAGTTCTAAAACGTCTTATAGGAAAGAAGCAAATATCTGGGGATATTGCAAATCCTTACGACAAACTGAAACAGCCATTGCTAAGATCTATGGACTACCTAAGATTCACAAACCTTAAGTACCACTGCGACCGATATTATCGTTAATCGGGGCACCTAATTACAAGATTTCTAAATGGCTATTCCACAAACTGTATCCGTTGACAAAGTATTGCGAAACATTAATCAATAATTTAGCAGAGTTTCTGGACAAATTACAAGGACTGAGAATCGCTGTAGATGAAATAATGGTATCCTTCGATGTCGTCGCTCTGTTCACCTCAATACCACTGGGTTTAGCAAGACAATGTACAGAGAGACGTCTCCAGTACTACGACACGGATATCCCTGCATCTGCTTTGTTAGAACTCTTATACCTTTGTTTAGAAACGAACTTTTCATTTGCACAGGAATACTTTTAACAGGTGAAGAGAGCGCCTATGGGATCACCCAACTCCAGTTTTCTCGCAGACATTACAATGCAGAAATTAGAGGATATCGCATTACCACTAGTTAACCCCACATTATGGGTGCAATATATTGATGGCAAGTTTGTCATTGTTAAAAGTGATCAACTGGAAATACTTCACAATATCATTAATTCAACACTTCCAGGAATCACAATCACACTCGAGAAAGAAGCTGACAACAAACTCCCGTTTCTTGATGTCTTCGTACAGAGAAAGTCTGACGGGACATTTCACATTTCGGTTTACCGCAAAGAAACCTACGCGGAAGTTCTTTTGCATTACGAGAACGATCACCCAATCTCTTACAAACGGAGGGCCGTGAACAGCCTCTTTAACCGAGCAAGAACTAACTGCTCTGACAACGAAACATATCAAACAGAACTGAATTATTTGTTCAAAATGTTTTCCCAGAAAGGATATCCTAGACACTTTGTACACCGATGCATGAGACGACAGGCGTTAAAAGAAAAAGAGAAGGAACTAGATTGTTCCGATCAGGCGCCCAAACCATAAAAACTGGCAAACACTTCCGAACATGAAGAATGTGTCCGAACTAGTTGAAAGACACCTGAGGAAACACCAAATACATGTGGCGCACAAGCCGACGACTACACTTCGTAACCAACTTGTACACCTAAGGATAGGGTTGACTATTTAGATAAGAAGGAAGTTGTCTATAAGGTATCATGCAACACCTATAATGCGGTTTACTGTGGTCAAACTGGGAAATCGGCCTCTACACGAATGCACGAACATCGGTTGGCCGTAAAAAGGCGAGACCACTTGTCCCAAGTTGCCATGCATACGTTGAAAAGTGGACACAAATTCGCCTGGGACAGGACTCGCATTGTAGGTGTATGCTCATCTAAAAAGGGCCGTGAATTTTTAGAGGCCATCTATTCTGATAATGCATGCATCAATCGACACGTAGAATTAGATACGGTGTAGAACAGTTTCAAGGAAAATTGGAAAAGGTGTTAGCCAATCAGAACATTACACCAGCAGGAATGACAAGGCAAAATCAATTTTTTCGGCATGTTTAAATGTTGACTGTTTTGCACGCTTACTTCACGTCTGAAAACGACGTGGGGAAACAAGATCAAAAATTTACAATGAAACTTGTTTATCTTTCCCAAAGAGCTTATTTCTTTCGAATTTTATTTTTATGTATATATTGACAGTGCTTGCCCGAATAATAATCAGTCGATTTGCACTCCACCGTACACCTAACATGCAAAAATGGGAAAGCCAAATTAAAGTCCGAAAACGTATTTGGGGAAACAAAGCTCCTAAATCTCAAATGATTGGTCGTTTGGAAAATAATTTAAAGAAACCATTTAATATTACTTAAGCACCTAACCACCTCAAGTTATTGATTTAGGAACAGATCGCCATCAATAAAACAGAGCGTTGATAATATATGGGCAGTAAAATGGCGCACTTTTTCTATAAGCGCACACTTCATTGAAGACCACTAAGACATAAAACAGTAGCATTTTCGCCTGCTTCATCCTGCATTCTGCGTTTTCCGTCTAGCACGACGGTTCTGCTGCCTCAGAAATGCGCTGAGGTTAGAGTAACTGCTTTTCTAGCTGATTTATGGTGGTCACATCTCAGATGTTACATGTTCTTCTATGGGATTACTCGCTTTTTTCCATGCGCAAGGAACCCGTCACAGTTAGAAGAAACCTTTGGCGTGAGGATTTCGACCAAATGAGGGCTGAAATTTCACGCATTGAGTGAGAATCCATATTTGTTGGGAGCATACTAGAAGACTGGCAACGGTTCCTAGAAATTCTGCACGAGTTGATCGTAAACCACTGTCCGCTTTCACGGAAGAGGTTAACTAACAGACCTCGCTGGCTTACGCAAGCCTTGAAGAATGAAGTGAATAAAAAACGACGGCTGTGAAAAAAATCGCTTTCTGACAGGAGTCCCACATGTATATACGCGTACGAAATTCAAAGAAATCGAGTCAAGGGCCTTATCCTCAAAACTAGAAGGGAATTCGAACGGAATCTGCTTAACCGTGCCGCGGAGAACCCTAAATTATTCGACGGTTACATTAGTCAGTGCACGCGGAACAAGGACCCAATACCCCTGCTGAGGACTGCTGAAGGCGAACATCTCACTGACGACAGGGCGAAAGCTGATCACCTTTCAGAATTTTTTCGGTCTGTTTTTAATAGCGAAACAGGATTCAACCCTTCGGCCCTTCAATCCTTCGAAGACACCCCAATTATAGAGGTCGTCCAGTTCATTGAGGGTATGGTTCTGACGGAGTTGTTGAGGCTAGATGAATCCAAATCACCAGGTCCCGATGCGATTCCGGCGAAGATTTTGAACGAACTCGCCGGTGAGTTGTCTAAGCCACTCTCCATGCTTTTTCATACATCCTTCGAGACTGGATATCTGCCACCCGACTGGAAGTCGACGTGGATTACGCCGCTGTACAGGGGCGGAAGTCGGGTCTCTGCGAACAGTTACAGACCTGTCAGCCTCACCTCCATTTGCTGTAAGATTATGGAGATGATAATAAAGCAACAATTAATGCAGTTCCTTGAACAAAACCATTTGCTTTCCGATTCTCAGCATGGATTCCGCAAAAGCAGATTCTATGTGACAAACCTGCTCTACTGTCTGGAACACTGGACTAGGGCTGTTGATAGAGGAGATATGGTGCATGTCATCTAAATCGACTTTAAAAAGGCTTTCGATAGTGTGCCTTACCACCGCCTTCCATACAAACTTAGCCGTGCAGGAGTGTGAGGTAAGCTTCTGATGTGGATTCGGAGCTTCTAAATCGGCCGCTCTCAAGCCGTCCACGTCAGTGACCAACAATCTGCCGAGGTTGCCGTTAGGAGTGGTGTTCCTCAAGGCTCTGTTCTTGGTCCTACACTGTTCCTCGTATACGTCAATGATGCGCAAACGAACTGAATTGCGATGTCGCAATGTTTGCCGATGACATAAAGATCTGGAGTACCATACGAAGCGAAGTTGACGAGGCGCGACTGCAGACAAATCTGGATCACCTCGAGCAATGGTCGAAAGACTGGCTTCTACCGTTCATTGTAAACAAGTGTTATTTCCTACGCGTCGGCAGAACCAATATTCCTAACCACACGGTCTACCGTCTGACTGGCAAACCACTGCAAGAAGTCGACACCCAGAAGGACTTGGGTTTATGGATCACAACCTCGCTTAAGCCTTCGCTGCAATGCTCAAAGGTAGCCAAGTCGGCGATGTCCATTCTATATCTCGTCAAACGTGCGTTCTCCTCCTTTGATGAAGACTGTTTCGCCAAGGTCTTTCAAACTTTCGTGCGACCGCACTTGGAGTTTGCTATCCAAGCATGGAGACCCTGGACCGCTAAAGACTTCGGCATACTCGAAAAAGTTCAACGGCGAGCAACGAAACTCGTATCTGGGCAGTGGTCATCATCCTACGAAACACGATTAGCTAATCTTGACCTCTTTCGTTTGAGTTACAGACAGCTACGTGGGGACCTGATACAAGCTTTCCGCATCGTGCGCAATCAGGGCTGCTGCCTCGCGTTTGGAGACTTCTTCGAGTTGGCGACTACGACTAACCTGAGAGGCCATCCACTCAAACTGCGTGTGGCTGGTGCCCGGCTAGACACCCGAAAGTTCTTCTTCTCAAACAGAGTGGCTGCAGCTTGGAATGCCTTGCCAGAGGATGTTGTTATGTCGGACTCCGTAGATACTTTGAAACGGATGCTATATCAGCATTGGAGCGCGCACCAAAATAACGCCGGATTACGGCCACCTTGACAGCCAACGTTGAAAATTAAGTGTTATTACGATGCTACTAACAACATTCAAGCAACATGTGTTTATGTAATTTATTAATTTGGACCACGTCGCACACCGCTGCTCGCATTCACCACGATGCCTGTAGACTAAACAATTTTACTTCTTTTCCCGTATCTTAAGTGTGCCTCAGCTGTCCACTGTATTTGATCGACAAAGCAAGTTAATGTGCCTCTAAATTCTGTTAACGCATGACATTCTGTGTTCATCTGTACAGTTTTTGCTATTCCTCTCGCATTTCTTTCATGTTACTTCCTTTCCATTTCCTCCATATATATCCTCTGCATGTAAGCAATAGGGATTTCAAAGGTACACACCTACTTTCCCTGGAATATACGGATACTGATACTGATACTGATTTCCACCAAACACAATCTGCCTGAGATAAACCGTAAATAAATCATTATTCATTAGTCGTGTCAGAAAGACTACTTTGTCCAATAGGCTATAACATATTCAGCTTAAACTGAGTCCAGTAGCCTTACGATCGATTTGAACCTACTCATCACTCCTGTGCAGAGTCCCTCCTCGTTGGTAGGGGATGCAGCATTCGAAGGGACGGGTATGAAAGGGAGGAATCGGATGCTGACCGGGGCAGGTGTCATTTCCATCTTAAAATTATATACTGATGCATCATACATTTCGATTTCACAGGTTACCTAGATTATGCATGCTTAAACGAATTCGGATAGCAATAAATTCCCCTTAGACTGGCGGCAATCAACGAACTCCCTTGTAGATAAACCACGTCAATAATCTCGAATGAGCAGAAATTTCAGCAGGACACGAACGGCTGTGGCTGGGTGCCTAACCTCAGTGACCGGCTAAGATAGAGCAGTCGAGTAAGACTTAATTAAGTGTGATAAGGATTGACCGGAACGAAAGGCTGGAAGGGAGTTGTGTAGGGATATGCTGATGGCATAATTATGTTGGTATAAGCGGAATTATAACGTCTTAAC